CCTATGGCGAAATCCCCCCTATGAGGCAATCTATGGGGAGGCCTATGTTCAGCAGTGGACTTTTGACAGATTGTAGTGCTGTGGCTCTCCAATAGATACTGGACGGACTAGTAAAACATGCAAGAAGTAGGTGGATGCAGGTGACTCAGGACCGTGCTTTACCATTCCTTTGGGGATGCCTATGTACAGTTGTGGACTTGTGATGTTTAATGTGACTAGTAACGATAGTGATGATTATGACGATGATGTTTGATTTTACGTACTCGGCGGAAAAAAAACATCGTGAGAAAACCTGCATATCTGAGAAATAAAATATTTCTGGGCCTTGTGAAGTCGGATCCAGCGTGATAGATTAACCGCTCCATTCTCCTTTTTGTCCATCAACTCAAAAATACACTATCGGATATGTGTATCTGCCGCTATATGGAGAGCTTCTTGTTATCGTCATGTTTTACTCTCGCACGATGCTCTCCATCTCTGGTATTCCTTTGTTTCTTTTATTTAAAAGACCACTCATTATTATTACTACTAATTATTAATATTACTAATATTCCCGATAACCACTTTTTACATGATTCTACTATGAAAAACGGTTTAAACTACTATTTACATACTAGTACCAAGTTAAAACTTCTTTTTAAGTAAACCTTAAATTGAGAAATAACGTTGTTTTCAGACGATAGAGATGACGTTTACTATTTAATACTCGTACCTATATATTACTTAGAAATATACTTTGATTTGTATTTAAAATAGTTGATGAGTTTAAAGTTAGCATAAACCACTAAAATGGATTCAAAGTGAGGGCTTTGGAAATTAGACCGCAATCGGATTGTTAATCTAGTATTATCGTTAAAATAATACTTTGAAGTGGATTTTAGTATGAAATAGTTGTGTGAACTGGTAATTAATGTCAATGTCAAAATATAAGAATAATCAGAATTGATGTAATATGGTGATCTCACGGTTATAATTACTTTTTTTTAGAAATAAGGGTGAAACGAGTTCTCAACTTGCATTGTACGTGTTAGAGCGTAGCTGAGCTATGGTTGTAACACTAATTTGTACACAACCAACTAACATTTCTACCATTTGTTTGTTGGTTTTTGCAAGATGCAAAGCCGTGAGAGTAATTAGAAATAAATATCGCTCATAGGTTGAGAAACCTATTTCGTATATGAGTGACATACCATTACAGCCATTCACAAGTCCCTGACTGAACATCTCACTCACGAAATACCACAAAGCACCGTTTTGAGCAACCTGCATCCATCGACTTTCTGCAAGTTTTACCGGGTCGTTACTCCATCTACGGGCGGGACGTCCTAAACTTCGCCTGCCGGTACGAGGCTGCCACTCGAGAACCTCTTTTCCCCATCGGTTGTTGGTTCTTCGAGCTATATGGCTGGCCTATTACCACTTTATCTTTACTAATCCGTTGGGCTTTGTCGGTTACTATGGTTCTACTGCGGATATTCTTATTTGGAAGCTTATCACGCAGCATAACAACGCGCATATCGCTCTCCGTAACTCGCTGAGCGACCTTGTGCTTCCTCTTATGTCCAGAAGTGAAGGACCACGTCTCAGATCCATATGTCATCACTAGCAACACGCACTGGTTGTACAATCTTGTTTTGAAGTTTTTTTAGGTATGCCTGACGAGAAGATGTGTCATAATTCCTGAACGCTGATCAGCCGAGTTGAATCCGTCAATAAACCTCTCGGTTGAAGTTGGACTTACCTAGTCGAACTATTTGTCGCAGGTAAATATACATATCAAAAACTTTGAACTAAGTGCTCCCAACAATTACCTGTATCGGCTTATTTAAGAATATCGGCTTATTAAAGAAAAGTATTAGCTAGACGGAAAAGGTGGTAACTGATATTCGCAGTTACATAAGTGATAAAATCAACTAGTTTTAATTGATTAATAGCTGATAGTCAGTAGTGTTAGAAAACCAGCTACTACCAATAGATATTTCGATACTACCAATAGATATTTTGATACTACCAACAGATATTTGATACTACCAATAGATATTTTGTACTACCAATAGATATTTTAATACCAATAGAAATTTTAATATTACCGCACATTTTTAATTGAATCTTTTGAAAATATTTAGTGACCAACCGATAGTGAACAACCATAGTTGAACAATCGTGTTCAACAACCGTGGTCAATAAATAATAGTTATAAAATTTCGCGACTAATTAATTAGTCGAACCGCTGGCCACTCCCTTGCTATTTGAATTTATAAATCGTGCATTTTAATTTGAACCTCAGTCCACAGTTTTCCAGCAACACACACAGAGACGGCAGTGAAAGTATCCTCCGGAACCTAGAGGTGTAGGACGTGAGCGACTCGCGGAGTATCTTCGACAACATTTACTCCGGAGAGTTACGCCCGTCCGGCACAGTGACATAATATCTCAACCTCAACTATAATTAGTAAGTTTAAACGTGGCGTTTATAACTGTATGGTGACGACGTAAGAGAAACCATAACCCCATTCCGCCAACATATCGATCGAGGACTTAATTATCGTGTAATGCGTCATTAATAGTAAAAAAGATTGTTCTTGTACCTATGATTGATACGAATCATTACACTCCTATTTAACGCCGGTATTCTGTGAGAGGGTGCTGCTTTCCAGTCAAACCGACATGTTTTACCATTTAAATATTCAAACTAAATAATATATAACATATTATTACTTTATAACCGTCGGATTCTGTTATCATGTAAGCCGTCGCGTCGGGTCGAAGGATACATTTTTTTTAATAACCGTTCCGCTTCCCTTGCGCCTATTCTCGTAGCGCGCAAACGATGTGCGTAATAGTAGTGCGTAATATATCGATTATTTGCAACTTTGTGATTTTTAACTAGTAACATGAGGAGTCCATATACCCGAGCGAGATGTTAGACGTCCCATTGTCATAGGTAACCACGGCTACGTCCAGATTAAAAATTATTAATTTTTGTTCCGATCTACGCAGTATGAACTATCAGTATCTTGAAGTCTTACAGTTGTGTGCTTGGGTTGGGATTTAATTTTATTAATTATGGGGGATCCCAGGTGGTAGAAGGAGATGATAGCACCCAGCTATCTTCTCTATTAAAATTAGGATGTTTTTTGATTTCAATAGCCACGCGAATCACCCTCGAAAGGAATCTGTGTTCTTTAGCGAGGATTTGTGGTCTATCAAATCTAATGTAATGACGGGGGCGATCCTGTACGTGTTCATAGACTGCAGAATTCCCGGAGCGTCGTTTCTTCACATCAGCTATGTGTTCTTCAACGCGGGTTAAATAATACAAAAGATCCATGAAAATCCAAATGACAAATTGTCCGACTAGGTAAGTTCAACATCGACCGAGAGGTCAATCGACGGATCTAACTCGGCTGGGCAGCGTTCGGGTGATTATTTATTATAATTGAAAACAAAGGTGTTGTACACAACCATTTCTTAAGTATTGCCGGTGATGACATATGGACTGAGACGTTGACCTTCACCGTTAATGGTATGAAGAAGATCAAGGCTGCTCAGAAAACTATAGAAAATGTATCTGCGTCATAAAAATAAATGAGAAAATCCACAGCAGAAATAGAGTAACTGATATAGCCCCACGGACCAGAAAGATGAAGTTGGTATAAGCTAACTATAAATGAGAATGCTTTGTCACCCCTCAGGACTAAGGTGAAATGCCTCATTTCCAGTAACAAGGGTCTCCGTTTCTCTAAACTCACTGCTATTTAACCCTTTCGCTGTCCCGTGCACTACATATAGGTCATTGCTATAAATAAATAAATAAAATATCTTAATAAAAGCTTTTAGAAAAAATTACTTCGCAAATATCCGCGTTATAAAATAAAATGATGTGTCTTACCTAGTATGAAGAGCACTTCCCGCCCTCCCTCAATTGCGTGCACTATCCCCGTCACCACTAATCCCAGCACCGCTACTCCCAACACCACTACACTAGGCAAGACACACCACTGACGATAATACGGCTACATGCTAACATGTAGCCGTATCCAGCGCTCAAGAAGCGGTGAGTCCCACCTGTATGTCATAGTGTTGAGAATGCTATTGGAGCTGCCCCGCAAGCGCTTCAGTATTGATGCATTATTAAATAATTTTTAATAATGGCATGGAAACCAGCAGTGTGCACTTCAGAAAATATTCCTGACGCGCTGCAAAAGCGTGGCAGCCTCGTCGCTTACCGGGAGGCTCAATATTATTTGTAGACTTCCAGAAGCGCTTAGTCTTTACTAGAACGGTGTTGCGGAATCATATCCGTTTTAATTTGTTGCTGAGTCTTTTGACACCATTTCAGCTTAGAATTAAATACCCTTCTGGATTCCACCATCTTCATTCAGGTCATCTACTGGACTAGCACTTGGCTTACCGCAGAGCTGCCACTTCTGTAGACAATCCCTAGCGTGCCGATGAGCGTCCCTAACATGTTTATTCAATCCGATGACATGTTTGTTCTTTTTATTATTATTTTTACTTATACGATTAATACAAATTTTAGCACCTTCTGTGATACTAATTATATTTTATACAATTCATCTAAAATTTGCCTATGACTACTATCAGAACACATTTTATTTGCACAACTCGTGAGTTCCAAAGTAAAATTTACATTTCTAAGTTTAGAATGACAGTATTTTCTATATTTCTATATTTGAGGGGAACGCCTACTGTCACCTCATATTACATCATAAATTGTGTAGCTACCATGCACAACTTTAGGTGTTATTACGTCAATGTTTAATTTAATTTCAAAAGAGTTAAAATCCGACCAAAGGGTGTAATATATGACAGAGACAGACACATGAGCCACTGTGTTTCGAGCGGCACTCGTTACAATACAACGGTCAAGCCCGCGCCGACAGGCATGTGCGTCACTTACGAGAGTGTATGTGTTCGCCGACAACAAGTCCAAGTCTATTTAAGATTAACATTGTTGAGCACAAGAGTTCATATATTCATAACAAACACACACCTGGATGTGCATTGAATTCACCAAGTATGTACACGGATTCAACGCCGGTGCTCTCTATTATGGTACTAACCTCACTGAGACACTCAGTAAACTCCGGTATATTTTCACTTGAATTGGTAGAAACTGACACTATAAGGAACGACTTCTCTTTGACAACTATTTTAATTGCCGCAAGTCGTACACTACTACGTGCTATCACCGACACAGACGTAAGCAGGTTCTTTCTCCACAGGAGAGCTACGCCGCCGTACAACCTCCCACGAAGCAACCCAGCCGGAGTATCCACTGCGGACACACTTGTGTACGCGAAATCATCATCTAAAGATCCCAGGAACGAAATATCATGAGGCAGGAGCCATGTTTCCTGCAACGCCACCACGTCCGCTGTGCGACATATTCTTCTCACACAGTCTAACGATCTAATAACTTTCTTGCAATGGAAGCTAACGACTTTTACTGTTTGTGTATTATTCATAGGCCAGAGATATTATTACTCGACAGATACACGATTTCTGGGCCTTTTTTCACAAAAGTTAATAAAACGGCTATAAGCAATTCCGCCAGGCTATTGCTATTGTCTTACTATTGTGTCTGTGAACCGGACAGTGAAAGTGTTAAACCGGTGTACTACGTATAATTTCGGAACAAAAGGTGCTCGCGTGGGAGTCTCGTACCGGTAAACTGCCTACTAGATGGAGTGAAGACTTGATAAGACATGCAGGAATTTGACGTCAATAACCTTAGTCCCCCGTGACCATGTGTGTTGTAAAGCATCCAAACGCCGGGAATTAATAAAAATAAGTTAATAAAACACGATAGAATCCGTAAAATTAGTTTTATTTAAATTGGTAAAAGTAGTTTTATTCAATGAGTAGTGTTCGTGTAAATATAAGAAATCAATCATTAGAACAACTGAATTAAATTATATTATAATAAATGAATTGTTACTTTTCTTCTTTGGTAGAATTTCTTTATTTCGTCAGATTTACAATTTTATTATTTACTAGTTTACTTTTATTATTGCATAAAATGTACGTATTATAATATCAGGTTGGGGATAACCTCCCCTTAATCCGCAAACTGAAAATAATGGTATAGGCTAATGTCTAATATTCCCAAATTTATATTATTAATTTGCTAGTTTTTGCGCTAAATTTAAATTCTAAATTTCCTAAACAGATGAAACGGTATTTCGAGGGTCTTATAGTCTTAGTAACTGTACTTTGTATGTTATGAATTCTTTTATGTAGCTATTGGTTTTTAATCAGTTATAGAATATTGTTATTATTTACGCTGTATTTGTTTTTTCAACATAACATATAATTTTCTTAAGAGATACGTATAAAAGATCAAAAACCTTGTCTTGGGAACAGTGTTGGATAACTTTTATTTAGATTTAATATGATATCCTTTACTGCACCAAATCTTTTTCTTTTTTCCGCATATTGATAGCAAATAAATTTTGTACGCTAGCACAATATAAACACGTAACCCATGCAAAATGGCGGTATTCTGTCACTTATACAGATTTAAGTTGTACTTTGGCTGTTATTTATTTTTTTAGTTTTATATCACTCTCATAGTCAGAAGTCATAAAACTACTGTATTTACAAGAATGTACAATTACGCCATAAAAATAAGTTTAAGAAGTAGGTTTGCATACACCATTGTTCAGAAATTAGATTTAGTTGATACCATAATTACAGAGCTGTTTAAAAAAGTGACAACATGCTAAAACAGCTTCTATATAGTTTTAATGATAAATTAGATTCAAGTGTTACAAAATACATGAAAATTTCTTATATTTACGCAAATACTACGCATTGAATAAAACTATTTTTACGGATTTTATCGCATTTAATTTACTTATTTTAATTTCCGACGTTTCGGGTGCTTCATAAAAACACTGACGTGTTTGACGTCCCGATGTCATAGTTAGCCCGGCCATCTTCTGTTTTTGAATATAAACGTTTGGTCCAATCTACGCAGAATGAGCTTACAGTATCTTGAATTCTTGCAGTGGTATACTTGGGTTTGGATTTAATTTTATTAATCCGAAGGATAAGGATCCTAAACTGATGGCAGCGCCCATCCATCTTCTCTATTGAAATTAGGATGTTTTTTTTAAAATTTTAATAGCCTCGTGAATCACCCTTCATCAATCAGCTATATGTTCTTTTACGCGGGTTTTTATAGATCTTTTTGTATGTCCTATGTAAGAGAGACCACAATCACAATCCAGCTTATACACTCCTTCATCTTGTAGAAGGGTATGAAACTTAACGGATGGTTAAAATTGACTAATCTTCTTCGGCGGCTTGAAGTATGTTTGAATGGAAGCTCGTTTCATGATGTAGTCAACCTTGTCTGTGACTCCTCTGACATAGGGGTACAGCAGGCACACGCTCGACTGTGGCCGGCTTCACTCGGTCACTGTGACGTAGGCGCGGGACCCGAAGCTTGTTGTCTTGCAATACTTGTTCGACGTGCTGAAAATAAGCTTAATAACGTCAATTGCGTAGATCGGACCAAAAATTAATATTCAAAATCTGAAGGTAGCCGGGCTAACTATGACATCGGGACGTCAAACACGTTAGTCCCCCCGTGAAGCACCTGAAACGTCGGGAATAAAAATAAGTAAACGCGATAAAATCCGCAAAAATAGTTTTAGTCAAAATACATGGAGTTTTTTACTAGAGTTTTTATACTCTGATTAAGATTACGCTTACTATGATCTCAAAATACAGACTTTATTCAGCTCGAACTCCTAAACCACTCTCAACCTCTTTACCACTTTTATACGATTCTAATAGAACTCTAAGTTCTACGTGGGCTGGTATATTGATGTTCATAATGCTTGTGTGCTTCTTGAGCACCAAACATGACTAAAATCCTGACGCTAATATCTTTATAGGAAACCACACCTATTACTTAAAGGTTAAAGGACTTGTTTAATAGGCAACCTAGGTTGAGTGTAGTTTTTTCACTTGTTTGCAGATAGAGATAATAATTTAAATACATATAAAATTTCATTCATTTTGCTAGCGTAATTAGATACTAAGTAGTGGTTTTAATATCATTTGTGGCAATAAGGTGACTCATACCGTAACAAAAATAATTGGTAGTGGACCTTGCTTTTTTACGGCCATCACTTATTTATTGTATGGGAACCAATTGTTGTCTAGAGATGTTTAGAGATATTTAAAAATTTATGGATTACGTTATTACGCTTATTTTGTTGTTTGTTCACAATGTGAAACAAAAACGTATAGTTTGCCTTTTTCGCTTATTATCTCGTTTGTGGGTCCGACCACTGACTCGTTTGTGAACCCATTTATTTATTCGTTGGTTAGTGTGGCTGGTTGACTTACTGACTGAATATTTTTCAAATTAGTGTTTTCTCGGTTAAAATTACAAATAAACACCGCCATTAATTGCCGTACAAAAGTACTTATACCAAGCAATGGACTCGCGGGCACAGCTTGTTTAAAATTTGAAGCAAAATTAAAAATAAACAGTTCCTAGAATTATTCATATCACTCTGTATTTTAGTTTCAAAAGTGATCTACTTGTAGGCTGTACTCGAGACTTTATTTTTACTCCTTTGAAATGCACTGGAGCTGTCAAAGGCAACTCTCTTCTTTTTGCCATTTGCGAGAACAAAGAAAGGAGCAGGGCTCGGAACCGGTTTAAAAAGAGCGGTTAATTTCGATTAATTACCCGTAAATTTATCGCTCCTTCAATTACCGGTTAGAAAATTAACCGGTTTTTATTAAACCTAAACGATAAAGGTTACCGGTTATTTAACGGTTTCGATACCCAAATTAACCGGTTAATTCCGTAAAACGTAAAGGTGAATAGGACATGTAGATTCACGTTGCGAGGTGCTTATGCGGCATCGCCGCATGGGGGCACACTTATCAATTATCTGCCTTTACATTGTTTTAGTCGCGATCAGGGTGTGTAGTGGGAGTTTGGCATTTACGAAAAACGTAAAAGTATTCGAGAAGTTTTGAAGAAAGAAAGGCAGTTATTGTGTTTGGTTTATTCGTTAAAACTGGACTTGTCTCATAATGAAGAAAATAATTTATTCTTGTGTATCGGTTGTTTATTTATGATGGGCAGAAAAAAAGTAAATAGAATTTATTCCATGTTTACGTTTTAACAGTGATAGAGCCACGCGGCAGCTTTTGCTATCGCATGGATGGGCCAGCTCGAACCAGGGTAGTACCACGACCTCACAGAATACAAGCGTGAAGTAGAAGTTTACTTCTGCGTTTCGCTTGGTAGGTGTAGGTGGTCGGAGGCCCAATTCCCCCCCCCCCCCGCTCCTTAAAATATGGTAGCGGAATCAAATAAAAAACTACCCCAGGGGGAATCCTGGTTACGGAGAATCCTTCGCTGAGCACCCACGCCCAAGGTACCCTACTGTTCCTGAGCATGTGTGCTCAAGCTGCTCCGCGTGTTCTGGTATACGGGGGAAGGGGGGGGGGGGGTATCCGCAGAGATCGTGTACTTGGCGGTTTTAACGGAATGGCTCGGTTCACATTTAACCGATCATGTGGGGAAATTCGTTTATGACTTTGCCTTGGCATATGGTTGCACAGCTGGTTACTTTGCCTACGCGGATTCCAGATGTGGAGGATCATGCGCCTTCCCTGTTAGAACTTCTGCTGACCTCTTATCTGGACGGATATCAGGTTTCCGTTGACACCCCTCACGGCTCGTAGGGCCAGTCTTGTCCGGAGGGTGGTGTCACTCACACTATCTTCGCGGTTGCATCCTGCAGGCAGCCGCCGTGTTTGGCACTATAGATTGGCCGAGTGGGAAAGGATGCGGCCTTTTTTTTGCATTCTACCCTTGAGGGCGAATTTGCTTCTCGCTGTACAATCCCAGCAATGTTGCTGATTCTGTTGCTGATATGGTACTTGAGGATATGGAACTTTTTATTCCATCTTCTGTGGTGCCCATCGGAGGCAGATCCCAGCCATAGTTTAGTCGCTCATGTAAAATAGCATCACACTTTAAGCAAGTGCGCTACCAGCACTGGGCTGACGACATCTTTACATTCCGAGACGTTGATGTATCGAGATGTAAACACCAGCGCTCTTCAAAAGAAGTATGATTCCGCCTCCAGGTTCTTCAAAATTCATTGCCAAGGCAAGGTCAGAGCACATCAGCGGAGTTGGTGAGAGGCTAGTTCGCTTTCCTTCGGTAACCCGTGCATTCTGGTCTCTTGCTAAGGCTGTCCAAGGGAACTTCTGTCAGCCATCTCTGTAAAGAGAGGGTGACTCACTGAGTCCATGCCACAAAGGAGAAAGCCAATTTGTTAATCTCTCTTTTTGCATCCAACTCGACTATCCATAACGGAGGAATACACCGCTGACCATCCCGCGGTTTGAGTGCTCCATGCCAGATGTGCGGCTTATACAGCGCTCGGTTCCCTTCCATTGTGCTGAAGACGTATGCTCCGAA